AAACAATTTATCAAAGTAACAAAACTCAAGAGACATAAGGAGCGAAGAGTAGCTACTGCTTCTTTCTAGTCACTTCACACTGCTCCCTCTGGGAGGAAAAGGCTTCACCCTGTTTGGAGAGACTTTATACTAATCACTAGGCCTCTCTGTAAGGGGAATTCAGTGTTCTGAAGTCAGCCATGTGCTTACTCTCATTTGCATTCCTATTTCAAATTCATAGGCTGCTACCTTGAAAATGCCTTGTTAGATGAAAAGACCCAGCTACATTGCCCCCTTGCACTCTTCTCCATGGTAAGGACATATGGATTCCATTTAGGTCTGAAATTTGAGAGGCTGAGTTTCCTTTGGTACTATTCTACTACTACTCTACTCTTCCTGTATCAAAAAGTTTTTGGCAGCACAATTTCTTTCTTTTTTTTTAAGATTTTATTTTTTATTTATGACACAGAGAGAGATCACAAGTAGGCAGAGAGGCAGGCAGAGAGAAAGGTGGAAGCAGGCTCCCTGCTGAGCAGAGAGCCCTATGCGGGGCTAGATCCCAGGACCCTGAGATCATGACCCGGGCTGAAGACAGAGGTTTTAACCCACTGAGCCACCCAGGTGCCCCGGCAGCACAGTTTCTATTATCATCTCAGAGCATAATTAAATTGTAACATGCTCTCCTCTTGTGATTTATTTATTTTTAAAACTCACTACACATCATGGAAATTATAAGGGTTTGCTAGATGGAGGCTCAATTTATGGATGTGGTAGTAAAACTGGTCTTAATCACAGCAATACCAAAACAATAATCTGATACATTTGGCCTCATAAAAGAGAGGAGGATATGTTTTAGCCAGGCAGATTTCAAATTTTCTAAGATACCCTTATTATGCTATATATAAAAGTAGCAATATTTATATTAATACAGTAACAATACTCTTGGACACTGGCTGCCTTCTTACACTGTTTTGCCCTTGTTACATGAGAAAATTTCTTCACTGGTTATTTATTTACCAATTTGCATATTCATTTAGTTTATATTTCACTTATTTTCAATCATTAATTTTGTCCTTACTTCTGTTTTCTTCTTTATATATTTTATGAGACTATTGGCTGAGCCTCTGTTAACAAGCTTGTCACTAAAGACAGTACACAGTTTGATATGGGAAGTGGGGAGTATTCAGATTACCATTTTGATCCAAAGCCTTGGGCCATATCCATGCCTCTATACATATATTGCTTTAGTTTACAATTTATAAATTGGTATGATGTTTCTACTCATATCAGGGGACCTGCACTTCAGCAACACTAAGCCTGCCTTTGAAAATCATATTCAGATGACTAAAAACATTTCATTAATTCAACCAAGTCATTTTTGGAAACTTAAAACATCTTTATTCTGGAAACCTTCCTTTAAATAGCATGAAATTTATGATTGTGAATAGACTTCTTTTTTTTTTTTTTTTAAAGATTTATTTATTTATTTGACAGAGGAGAGATCACAAGTAGACAGGCAGGCAGAGAGAGAGAGAGGAAAGCAGGCTCCCTGCTGAGCAGAGAGCCCGATGCGAGACTCGATCCCAGGACTCTGAGAACATGACCTGAGCCGAAGGCAGCGGCTTAACCCACTGAGCCACCCAGGCGTCCCGTGAATAGACTTCTTAAAATTCCCCTGTCACAGACAACACAGAACAGAATTTAGGGATATACAGGTTTTAGCCAACATAACCACTGCATTGTCTGTATCATCTGCAGACAGCACTACAGAGGGATGGAGAAATAATGAGTTATAACATAAATAAAAAAAACTGAAGGTACATCTTTAAATAGCACCTCAAATAAAGTTCATTCACCCTCAATCTCAGACTCTGTAAAGGGTTATGGCAACTTAAAAAAATAATGACAACAAAGGAGAAAAACTATTGATTTACATCTACACAAAATATCAGATGCATCTGAACCAACTCCACTGCCCTGCCTCACAGTCAGTTCAAAGAAAAAAAAAAAAACAGAACACTGCTGAACACCCTGCCAATAATGATAGCACCATCACATTCCCTTGCTGGAACTTATTGTTAAAAACCATGCTCTTCTCAGACACCTGAGTGGTGCAGTTGGTGAAGTGCTGCCTTCAGCTCAGGTCATGATCCTCAGGTCCAGGGACAGAGCCAGCATCAGGCTCCCCCTACTCTGCAGGGAGCCTGCTTATCCTTCTCCCTCTGCCTGCCACTCCCCCTGCTCATTATCTCTCTCTCCCTATCGCTCTGTCAAATAAATAAAAACTTTCAACCACAAAACAATAACATGCTCTTCTCTGTGATGTGAATGCATTTCATCAACCACCTCTAAAAAAGTTCTACCTGCCACCTGCATTTCAGACCATAGTTTAGAGATGAGCTTCATCAAATCCTTTAATTAACTCATTCCCTGCTTTGTCCTGTGGATCACCATCTCATTTTTTCATTAAGTATTTTCAGTAAACATTTTGTTGAAAATTTCCCATAAGCCATTACACACAAATTCCTCCTGTGAGAAAAGATACACAACCAATAAAAGATTTTGAAAAATCACCAATGATTCCACCTAAGAATCACCTATAACTATTAAAACTACTAGCATAAAAGTTTGATGATAAATAGGAAATTTACATAGTTTCCCTACAGAATATTTACTAATTACAAAGGAATGTTAACTTTAAAGTGGATAAATCTAGTGCACGTCAACTGAACCAAGTGATCAAAATTAATGTCATTAGTAACAGGAAAAGAGGTATAATTTTCCACCTGTTGTGAATCACTGAAGTGGAGAGACATAAGTCTGAAATATGCTTGACAAAATTGTAGAACCTAAACCTATTCAGGAGGAAACAAAAAAATTCAAATTTGAGGGATCTTTTAAAAAACTATTAGCCAATACTTTTTAAAGAATACTCATGTCATCAAAACACAAAAATGAATGAGAAACTGCTCCAGATTAAGTGAGACTAAAGAAACATGACACTTGATTGAACACAATACATAATCTTTTTTCCAGGTCCTGAAGGATGAAAGAAATTGCCATAAAGAATAGTATTAGAACTGGTGAAATCTAATAACAGACTATCTATTAATGTAATATGTTGGTACTATTAATAAATTTCCTGATTTAAAAACCTGTACCAGAGTCTCAGAAAGTCAATACTGAGACATTTTGGGATACAATGACATAAAATCTCTATCTTACTTACAAAGGTGGGAGAGAGAGAGAAGAGACAGAAAAAAAGAGGGAAGGAGGAAGAGCAGGAAAGCAAGAAAAAAAGAACAAAACAATGTAGAAAAAAAGTCTGGGTAAGAGCATCTGAAAGAGATCTCTATATGATTCTTGCAACTCTAAATCTAAAATTATTTCAAACATAAAAAGTAAAAAAAAAAATACTACCGGCATAAGGTATGCTTAAGACAGTATGCTTATGTACTGGGGATCCTGGGTGGCCAATCATTTAAATGTCTGCCTTCAGTTCATGTCATGATCCCAGCATCCTGGGATCCAGCCCTGTGTCAAGCTCCCTGTCTAGTAGGGTGCATGCTTTTCCCTTGGCCTGTCACTCCCCCTGCTTGTGCACTCTCTCTCTCTGACAAATAAATAAAATCTTAAAAAAAAAGAAGCTTATATACCTCCAAGAACCCCTCCACCGAGAAAAGGTCAATGGTTTCTACCTCTAAACAAACAGGATGACTCTTGTGATTGGAGGAAATGTGTACTATTTTTATTTCTTTCTTAAATAAAAAAACATAACATTTATGGTCTTTTTTTTAATCCATGGCCAGGTACTATTTAAGACCTAAGTTAAAAATATGGTTTTCACCTATTAGATTGGTTGAAAACTTAATGGATTGATAATATATATCCTATATAAGTTTTTATGAAAATTAGCACAGCCATTACACCATAGCTATGTGCTGGCAATTTCACAGTATCTACTGAAATTAAAAGTATGCAGAGCTGATGATCCAACAATGCCACAACTAGAAATCTATCTTACAGACATAGAAGACCAAGTGTTTTAATATTATATATATATGTACATATATATTTTTGTATATATATATATGTGCATATATATATATATATATATATAATTATATACATTAAAACATTTTATGTAGCAGCAAAAATAAAGGTTTAATCTGTATTTCCCAAAATAGAGAAATGGATAAACCCATTATATCTACTTTATAACCAATTAAATGTTTGTAGGTAAGCTTCATTTATTGGTTTAGAAATATGTCCACAATATATTAAAGAAAAAATATAATTGCAAAACCATAATGTCATATTTATAAAATACATTCCAGATAAACTTATATATAAGCTTAGAAATGTTATACACCACTAGCACAACTGATTAACTCTTGACACACTTAAGAAGTAGGAATGCAAGAGGATGAATGACCACATTTTGTTCTAAATTGTTTAATAACCAATTCATCCCTTTTGGCCCTGATTCAATGTACTAGGGGTCAAACTTGTCTATTGAGACAGGTTGGGCAATGCACTTAGTAGTTCTCTGATGACAGTGTAGTTTATGCTCCAGAAAATTCAGTTAAAACTTCCAAAAAACACAGTGATCAATACTAAGCCCATTTAGGTTAAACAGAAAACAAATGAAAATCAGGATAATGTGAATGAAAGTAAAATATCTTCGCAGCTTGGGTTTTTTGGTCCAATTCCAGTGATGGCAAGAAAATGAGAGAACTGTGTGTTCTACAGTCTGGATCTTCCTTACATAGCTGGAATTGTGATAGCATCTGAGTCTTAAATTTGGGCACTAAGGAAAACATCAACTATGGTCAGGCTCAGATCCTGTTCTAGAGGGAGACCTAGTAGGTGCCATAAAAAGTAAAACTATAAATGGTCTATTTGCATGAAACAGAAATGTTTTAAAAGGATCTATTTTGGGGACTGCTCTAAAAACTGTGGGCTCATGATGAGAAATAAAGTATTTTACAAATGGTATCCAAACTGGCTTATGGGAGGTACTCGGCTTGTGACAAATCCTGGTTAGAATGCTTTAGTGGGACCAAGTGTCCATGGGATTGCATTAATTATATTTACCACACACATATCTTATTCCCGCTTCTAATGTAAAACATAGAGGGAAAAAAAATCAATGAGGTAAACAACAATAGAGGAAAGCATAAGATATATTCAGAGAACAAAAAAGTACTTAACATTCTGGGCAATTACTTGCCAAAAAGCAGATCACTTCTATTCCTGGTGGTACATATATAAAACTTGTGCCTTTTGAGTTATAAAGATGCAATGAGCTTCCAAAAGGGGAAATAATGACAGGAAATAGGTGATGCTGTGCATGGTACCACCGCAGAAGGTATAGATGGTCCTCTTGTACACATGTTCACCACCTGGGACAGTGCAGAGGGTAGATTGCAAATGGAAATAAACAGTTATCACAAAGCCATGCATCAGGACAGATGGATATCACCCTTCCAGTCAAGTATTCTACCGTATCCATGAAAAACAATTCCATGAGCCAGATACTAAGTATCTTCAAACTATAAAAACCAGATATATTTACAGTACAACAACAAAACCATAATTTTACTTCCTCAGCCCATTTACTGTGATTTAAGTACCAATATCATATTCCAAATTATTTTCATGTCATTTACACACCCATACATCCATTCTTTGAACTGCCATTTCTAGTGTTAACTTCTCAGTGTTAATTCATATACCAGTCAAGGGTTAAAAAGTAAAAGACAATCGTACAAAAAAATACTAATAATCTTCCCTGTAAATTTCATAGGAATCTTTCCAAAAACCAAACCCCATTATCACAGTACCCACATTATCTACTCTTCCTGCTTTCCCAGAAATTTATTGTGACGCTTTTGATAGCTCTAACTAGAAGAAAACTTCTACATCCTTAAGTGATGCTTACATACAAGTGAGAACACTAAAACTTTAAGTTAAACTATAACCTCAAAATAATCATGTAGGTCCTATAGTAGGTTTGATGAAAAAGAAATTTACTGTCAAATGACTCAAAAGCCTATCAATATAGCCAAAAAAATCTCTTAAAAATCAGAATATACACCTCCGTGTCCTAACCTGTAGACAGTTTCTTTGATCCTTGCTTATGAAACATGCTAGAAAAGGAAAGGAAAGGAAAGGAAAGGAAAGGAAAGGAAAGGAAAGGAAAGGAAAGGAAA